TTCTAGAGTAAAATTTCTCAACGAAAACTTTTTATTAGTGCACGAAAGGTGAAATAAGCAATTTCTTCAAAATGAACGTCTCTGATCATATAACGTTACACTAACTCAGTATTCACTATTGGCTAACTTCTGTCGATCAACACGTGATAGTGAAAATTTTTTGGTGTTTTTGTTGGCGCACAAGGGTAGTTCGTGATCGGCTCTATTGATTAATCGGTTTATATTATACTAAATATACAAGCCGATTGAGCCGTTTTGCATCACTAACCGTAACTTGTCATATGCCGTAAAATTCATTGGGTGATCCGCCTGCATAATCAGTATCAACCTCAATAATATGGTATGCATAAAATTATCATTATCATTATGCACATCAATATAAGTTTAAACTGTTAGCGAAGCGACAGGTTGCATCTAGTAGAAAATAAAAAAAAACTTATACAGTGTCTGACAAAAGTTTTCCCACACCCCAATATAAGTTCTCAAAATCATGCATAGCATCTTAAAATTTTTTGTGAGCAAAGAATTTCTTGAAGGTGATCATCTGTATATTTTACAGAATGGTAAGTCTTCTGTATCATAGTATTGCATGATTGCAAATTTTCATATGATCACCAAATATGAAAATCACATAATATTTTTGAGTGACATACCTCAATAACAAAATGATCAATTTCAATGTTTGAGGATTTTTTTGAATTCTATATGTTTGTAGAATTCAAAAGAGTTCTTAAATATCAAAATTGATCACTTCATTATTGAGATATCCATAAAAAAAATTGGATGGCCACTAAATTTTGGGTTGTATTGATTAAAAGTTTTTTTAAAAATTCAAATATATATATCTCAATAATGACATAATCAATTTTGATGATTAAGATCTTTTTTGAATTCTACAGTTTTGTAGAATTTAAAAGAACCCTTAAATATTAAAATTGATTACTTCATTGTTAAGATATTATTGTTAAAAGTTTGTTAAAAATTAAAAATTCTGTAATTTTTTAACAAATTTTTAACAATAATATCTTAACAATGAAGTAATCAATTTTGGTATTTAAGAGCTTTTTGAATTCTACAAAACTGTAGAATTCAAAAAAATCTTAATCATCAAAATTGGTTATATCATTGTTGAGAAAACTTTATATCAATTTAAAACAAAAAATTATCCAGTTATAATATATTAGGGTTCTTATAACATTTATATAATAGATGCCTGTTAAAAAAATCTATCAACCTGTAGATGATATAGAGACCTACATTCAAGGTCTTCTTTGTTTATAGAAAGTTTGAAATGCTTTTAAGAAATCTACAGGTGTGGGAAAACTTTTGTCAGGTATTGTATAAAATCCACAAATTAATAAATACACATAAAAGAATTTATAATATATACTTTAGAGAATAGGTAGTTATGCGCAAAGTGGGATAAAATATGATATTTATTATGAATTTTACTAAAACATATCTATGGTGTTTTACATCTATGTATATATTATCTCAAAAACTGGCTAATTAATCGATATGAGGTGTTTTAAGTAAAAATGTTCTACACCTCCAAAACTCTTCCCAAACCTTAATCCTAACCTTAATATTAACTTTAATGTGAAAAATTGGTATTAAAATTTTATATACAAAGCTTATAAAAACTTAGAAAATTTTAAAAAACATAATAAAAAACATATAATAGATGTGTTTTATAACAATTGTTTACAAGTTAAGCATTAGCAATAAAATTTTGTTTAAATCTAACATAATAAAGTAAAATCTTTCCAGTTATCTTCACTTTACAGTATAATTTCACGTGATCCAATAAACGGTGGTATATTTTATCTTATACCGTAAATTCTCAAAATAACGGGCATGGGCGTTATTTTGGGTTTTGGCCTGAATTAAGCTTAATTTAGGTAAAATTTCGTAATTTTACCCCTGGGCGTTATTTCGAGAATTTACGGTAAGCAAAGTATGCGAGGAGTGAGATCTTTTAAGATTATTTTGCACAGTGAATACTGACGTTACTTTGAAGTTAGAAATAGCCTTTGCGTTAGTTTTTTTTATAGTGATACACGTTACGTTTTCAAAAAGTACTTTACAGTGTATAAGTAAGTTACCCGGGCAATTGATTTGCATCAACCAATCAGATGCATGTCCTTCCATGTATCAGCAATCCGCAGAACCTGTGGTAAGGATGGTAAAAAAAAACGGTTTAAACAGTTTTTGATACATTTTTTATTGTTTAAAAAATTGGGTTAAAACATCGGTGCCTGATGCAAAAAATTTAGCTGAAACTGAAAATACCGCTTCTGATTGGGTAATTTCGGTTTCAGTTCATATGGTCGAGAAAATTGTCATTAAAAAAAAATGTATGATTTTTATAATTCTTGAATTTATTACAAACAACGTGTAAAAACAATTGTGAAAGAATTACTTTAAAATATGTAATTTGTCTATTAGGCCGTTTGAAGTTAATTTTTTGGTTAACATCACCCCAGCTGAAGTCTCCCCCCGAAAAATGAACAGCCAATCAAAACGTTGGATGACTCTCGCCAGTCACCTGATTTACATCAACCAATGAAATTGCCCACCTTTGTTCATTTTTATATGTTCGTTTCATATGTTCATTTCATTTTACCCTCCTCCCCCCCTCTCGAGAGTCCTGGAAAAGTGATGTTAACCGAAGAATCAACTTCAAACGGCCTTAACTAAATACAACTTTATACATTTAATGAATAAATTATCTTAAAAAATACTGTCATGTAAACCTTGTTGAATAAGTTCTTGGGAGTGAACTATTATACTTTTGGCGAGGCGTTTTTGATCGTGTTTATCAATTTCAGTAATTGTTGTAAAGTTTAAATGAATTTCTTTTAAAGGAGATCTTTCGCGAGACATTGTTAATGATTTTATTATTGTTATTTTTTTAAAAAAGTTCGTAAACGTAATAAGTACAATACCAATTGCATTACGTAGTTTTAGATCATGATTACGTAAAAATGTATTATTATCCTATTTTTTAACAGATTTAAATCAATCATAATTTTTAAGTTTGTGCTTTAAAACATTTGCCATTCCTACTTACTTCTGAGACTTGCTAAATAATGGAAGATAAAAATTTAACTTTATAAAAAATATTGATTTGTACTTTTATCCCAAAATTGCAAACATATAAATTATAAATTCCTATTAATAAGTGTTAGCTCTACGCGAGCTGAATTGTACGCAATTACTAATTACATTTTAAATTTATTATTTCTGTTAACGTTAATACCTGATATATTTGGGAAAATAATGTACGTACGTACGTACGTTCATGTTGGGCATGGATCGGAGGTAAAATTTTAATTAATCGGAAGGTTAATAAATTAATCAAGTGAGTTGCCATTTCGATAAACAAATTAGTGAGATATCACAAAATTTACCTACTGAAATCACACTGGTTTCAAAACCGGTATGGTGAAATTTTCACCATGTAAGTTAGATACAAACCATCTTTTTTCTTCAAAAACTTACCATTGATAAAGGTCGTTCAAGTATTACTTTCAATTTTCCTTACATATCAAACATAATAAACAATGAAATTTCTAGCCGATATGAAAAAACAGTCACTTTATTTTTACTTCTCAAAGCTTTTAAAACAAATAATTGATACTTTGCTATGAATGTAATAAATACAACCCATTTTTTGACATTTAATCAAACAGTAATGAATACTGCTATTTCATTTTTCGTTCAATAAAATTTAAATATTAATATTAATGTTCGCAAGAACAAAATTTTTTTTTATTTCTTGTTGCTGCAATGCAACTTTCGCTAATGATTCCATAAATAAATTCTGTTGCTGTTGCAACAAAAGATTTAAACATTAAAGAAGTAACAGACGTAGCGAAGTTAAAGTTTAGGCAACCGGTTGAATAGAAATTGTTTTAAGGTGTTTTAAGTGGCATAACGTAGATCACGAAAAATAGAAAGTGTATGATTAAACATTTAATTCTATAATCATCGTCATTGATTGAGATGCTTTGACGTCATCATGTTCTTTATTTAATTGATTGATTGAGATGCTGGAGCGTCATGATCATTATTTAATTGATTAAAATACTTGAGATCATTATTTAAGTGATTGATTGAGATGCTTGAGAACACCCTAAATCAAGTATAAATGTTATAATGATTATTTTATACAGTAAACGTTAAACGGTAATCGCTGTATTAATAGAGTAAAACTGTTATAACGACAACTCCATATTAAAGCAAATCGAAAACGAACCCGGATAGTTCAACAAAATCGCTGATATGAAACTTACATGACACAATACATAAAATTGAATGGAATCATGAATAAAACAAATAAAAACGAGTTATAATATGACATATACGTATAACAAATCTAAAAGTCATGACCACACAAAAAAAATCAATATATCGTAAACACATAATATTATAGATCGGTGTTTTTAGATAACGATTTTATTGTAATAAGCAGAGCTCAAATGCATCAAATCAGATGGCAAGAATCGCCAACTCCACTTTACGTTAACTTTCTAGTAAACCATACTCTTTGTACTTTGTACTCGGTTCCTGGTACTTAATCGATGAGTATAAATTTTTTAATAATACTTAGTTTTATTCGAATTAACTTGATCAGTGGATAAAAATATATTTTATTTGGTGAATGCCGTTAGCATATTTAAAATATTTAAAATCGAAACATGTTTATTATTATTTATCCTTCACAATACAATAGTTTAGTGAGCGAATATAAAATGACAATTGTATATTTATATTATGATACTTTCCAATCACATTTAGTATTTAAAGTATAAACATTATTCATTTACTACATAACATCGTTTAATTTACATTAGAATAAGTTCATTAAAAGGCTAGGCACTACATGTGCTTCTACTAGCTTCTACTAGCTTTTTAAATAAAAAATAAGTCGAATAAAAAAATTTATCTTGGATCTATAGATGGTAATTTATTTGAGCTCAAAAATCTATAATGTTTCAAAAAATTTGATGTATGTTAATCTTGGTCTCGCCCTTTGTCTTCTTCAACTTATACCTTTCTAAGGTATAGGTTTCATACATTGAGTTAGTCAATCTCTTTGCATCAACATGAAGACGATTTTGAGTTGCTTTAATTGAATCTTCTCTATTTGTCCAAATGCACATTGAGAGGCATTCTCGAAATTGATTTAATTCACCGATAAAATACTTTTAAAATTATGAAAAGGAATAGTATAAATAATATTAGAATATAAAACTAATTTACAACCGAGTTAATATTTACCTTGAGCAAACCTCCATGAAGCATTGCTTCATTGTAAGCTTTAGCATCAGCTTCATACAATAATTTATTATCTGCGTCCACTCTTCGGATAGATCGAAAAGCAACGGCATACCATTCTCCTTCGACATCCTTTATGCTGGCTGCTATTTCATCCCAATTAAAAGATGTCTCGATAGATTCTGTTGCATAATTTGGTTTGATTGCTTTAAGCTTTTCAAGTTGCCGTGAGAATTCCTCATTTACATCATGTAAATGTGATAATACACTAGACATGGTTATTAAAATTAAATTATATTCTTTGACCTAAATAACAGATAAAATTATGTATTTTTTTTTGAAAACGATGTCCCAGAATAACTTCATACTGTAATATGGCCATTTTTATAATAATTTTTAAAAAATAATTTATATTCTATTAAATTTGTATCTATGAGATCTATGTATAAAAAAATTTGAAGCGAATACTATATGTGACCCTAACTATATTTGATTTGTTGAGATAATACCTATCTAGACACTCCAATGAAATCTTTAAAATGTTGAACTACTATTGCACGGTTAATGTGTTAGGGTTAAAAGTTATAAAAATAATTTATTACTTAATATGGGCTTGTAGACCAAATTCGTATAATATACAATCAAATTCATATATGATGCAATTAAATTCGCATAAAATGCTTATATGATGAAATCAAATTCTTATATGATGCAACCAAATTCGTATATGATGCAACCAAATTCGTATATGATGCAACCAAATTCGTATATGGTGCAATTAATTTCGTATATGATGCGATCAATTCCTTGTCCCAATTAGAAATGGATAAGGGCAATCACTTAGTACGTAAAAAGTCTCATCACATAACGTGACAATTTAGCATGTTATTGGTTGCAGATATATATTATTAGAAATTTGTCGCATTGCGTGATTTAATTTTTTACGTATTAAGTAGTTACATTGCCCATCTTTTAATGACTGGACTCGTCAATTCGTGATTCAAAATTATTCGAGAATTAAATATATTTAATTTAATTTGCTTATTAATTTTGTAACTCGAATGACTCGAATAACTATAATAAATGATTCGAGTACTCGAGTCCAGTCACTAGCCATCTTTAGTCCAATCATTTTCGTGCCCCGAACAATTTCATGTCTCCCAACCAATTTCGTAATTCGTATTTCAACCAACTTCATTTTTTCAATTTATTTTATACATAATCATAGTATAACATATATGGGGGGGTGCCAGTAGAAACCAAGCAATTTGTTTCTAAGTAAAATTTTTTTGGACTTTAAACTAAAATATCT